TATATATATAATGTGAACTTTTATTTGGTCCGGTCACAGGACGTAGCTCTACGCTCGGCCGCCAGTAAAATCGCGTCACGCGTTCTCACTATTTACCACGCGCCCCGACAACCCGACCCGGAACGGACCCAGGATGGCTCGATATTTCTCGATTTTGCTAGGTATTGCTAGGTATCCACGCGCCCCGACAACCCGACCCGGAACGGACCCAGGATGGCTCGATATTTCTCGATTTTGCTAGGTATTGCTAGGTATTGATCGATTTTGCTAGGCAATAACTAATACCGAGTTGTACCGAGTTTTTCTAGAAAAACTCGATACAACTCGGTATTGCTCGGTATTGGTCTTCATAGAGCGGTATTTCTCGTTATTGCCAAGCAATACCTAACAATACCGAGCAAATACCGAGTAATGCCTCGCAATACGCGAACATAGCATTCCCAGGTTCCGGTCCGGATCAAGTCGTCGGGCCGCGTGATTAAGAGTAAGAGCACGTGGTGACATATTATTGACGGCCGAACGTAGCTCTACGTCCAGTCAGTTAGAGGACGTAATAATTCCCCTAAATTAGAGTTACACTAAAAAAAGGACGCCTAAGAATTTTGTATTCAATGGGGAAAAAAAAAGGAAAAACTTGAATGAAATTTTATATTTGTAAATCAATTCTAAGAGACATCAAAATTTAAAAGCACGTGGCAACATATTATTGGCGGCCGAACGTAGCTCTACGTCCAATCAGTTAGAGGACGTAATAATTCCCCTAAATTAGAGTTACACTAAAAAAAGGACGCCTAAGAATTTTGTATTCAATGGGGAAAAAAAAGGAAAAACTTGAATGAAATTTTATATTTGTAAATCAATTCTAAGAGACATCAAAATTTAAATAAATCTTTATCAGTCTTTTCAAACCTTTTTCCTCTTTATTCACATATCTGAATCGATAGCAAAAACAATAGAACTTCTCTATATTTCAATTAGACAACAAATTTATAAGTCGCATTATTATTTATGGCTATATACTTGCAATATTATACTTCATACAAACTCATAGAAAATAAAATATTTTTATAATTTTAAAATATGATTTGCATGTAAATGAGATTTAATCTAAAAACAATAATAAGAATAAAATCTCCTGCTAATCCATAAGATGATCATGCTCTTCATTGATCTAATAGATCACCCAAAGCAATGTCTATCCAAGTTTTGAGCTCTCTTGCTCCATAGAAATAATGGTTGCAAGCCTATCATGAACCTGCCAAAATAGTTTTCAGATTCATTACAGCACAGAATCTCTAATTAGGCAATAATAGAAAGTGATTAAAGCTTCATTTGAGACGGCTTTCTTATTGCTTTTTAGAGCATCTTTCTAGAATAAAAACTAAAATTTTATGCTAAAAAACTGCTTTAAGAAACAACAAAAAAAAAACCGTCTCAAACAAAGCCTAAGAATACCTCTGAAAGTCTTTTCCTGGTCGCATCTTGAATTAATGAATCATCATCATACCTAATTCAATTACAGAAATTACATTAACCGCAAAAGAGAGCCAGAAAAAACCTTTACAAAGACTAACCAATCACGTGGTATCCCAGCTTTATCACGAGCTGCATAGTTGAAAGGGCCTTTCAACTCCACACTATAACACTTCAACAAATCTGAAGCAAAGGTATGATCAATTAGAAACATTGAAATTGAATAAAACAACAGGGTTCCATTTTTACCTTTAAAAGTATCGCATGGAGTTCTGCCCATCTTTTGACAGAGCTGAGTGAACCAAAACACGCCAACTGCGACGTGAGCAACTTCTTCCTCAGCAATCATTGCTACAATATTTGATGTCTTATGATCTCCAAATCCAATCAGCTTCTGAACCAATCTAGGCCCAGCATCCAGGCCTCTAGCTTCCTGCAAGAGCCTATTGTCATTTTATAAATCATGAAGAAAAAGGCAGAAATTATTGTTTGTGTTTGCTTCTTGAGGAAGATTTATCCTGATATCAAATGAGCACCAGTATCTAAATTATTCATTCTATTTAATATCTTATAATTCGCATAGAGCTAGAAAAGAATGTGTTGAAGCATCACTAAAAAATCCATTCACTCAAACACGAATGTTAACATAATATTTAAATTAGAAACTTAATCACACTACTTGATAGACCAAATAATCTCAAATATGGTGTACTAAGTAGTCAAAATAAGCATTTCAACAAGTAGAATTCAAAGAGCTAAATATCGCTCCATTATGATATCAGTAAATTACTTTAATGACTAAAAAATTATCTATGATCAAGGAAATCAACACATCATCCATTGACGTGCTTCAGTATTTTAGCTAAAATAATGAAAATGCCATTAAAAAATTATAAATAGGCCACCATTCTAATGAAGGAGATCTTAACATGAAATTGAAGGGCGCTTAGAAATATGAGGAATTCTAGAGCCTTATTGGACAATTGATGCAAATGATCCCGACCATCACCAACCAACACAAACATCCTCAATCAACCAACTATTTTTTCCTGGTGTCGATGTTCATCAACACCCAACATCCATCTCCTCACCCCCGCCTCTCACCATTGACACTAAGTTCGACCAACTAAAGACTGTCTCCTAACCATCACCATCACTAGTCATTATTTCCTAGAACTTCTCACTATATTTATAGGAGGCCAATCCAACAATTCGTATTATGTTTTCTAAAAATGGGAGTATGAGCGGGCTTCTATAATCTTCATTTACATAATAAATTATTTAAACCAGATCAAATCTTATAGTTTTTTTTTCTTCTTCTTCTCAAGTTCTTCATGTAAAAACTCTTAAATCTTTTGAGAACTTCTCATATTTGTGTGTGGATTTGTATGCTATGCTAAGATATAAGATACTCACTCTACTACCGCAAGTTCTCAAGCACACAACATGTGTGATGACAAATGAGCTAAGTCCCATTAAAAGAAAGCTAAATTTGAAATGACTTTTATTGAATTGAAAAAAATGTTATACAAATATGTAGATATAAATAATAGAAGAGAGCAATAAAAAGACAACAAAAAAGAAAATCCTTAATAATAAGGATATATTGGAATAATAAATATTATATATTTTTATTATAAATATCAAAAAATATAATAATATTAATATGGAACAATACAACCACCACAAATGAATTATTTCAATAGTAGTAGAGGCCATGGCTCGATACTGGACTTCAATATGAAATGAAGAAATAAATGCCTTGTTTCTTACTTTTCCAAAAATATGAAGACACCAATGACAAATTTATAGTCTACAAGATAATGGACCCGTTCAGCATCAGCATAAACATGCAATGCCAAAGAAGATGCAATAGAAATAAAATATTTTGGAAGAGTGCCGTAAAGATGATGAAAAAAATATAAAGAACAATACCGCAATGAATAATGGTGGGAGAAGAAAAAATTGATCAATAGCACGAACATATGCAATATTTGGCAATGTAATTGTGAGATAAACCAACAACAAACAATAGTACGATTTAAATAGAATTGATTGTATCACCTTCTGAACAATATTAAGCACTCAGTTCAATAGGATTATCAAAAATCCTATTATCATTAAGACGAGCAATCTCAACAGTATAAATTGTATGGCTAAACAGAGTGAGAAGATAGCCTTCAGAATGCGAGTCACCTCAATACCCATGAAATAACGTCGAAGGCCCAAACCTCATTTGAAAGCAAAGAGCTAATTTAGACTTCAACACTGCAATTCCATCAATATCATCATACTGTTAGGCGGGCCCCTCCAATCCTTACTTACTCTAGGCGGGCCCCACATGGAGTTAATTCAAGGGTTGGAGGGAAAATTTGAATGGAAAGGGGGGGAAATTTGAATAGAAGGGCTGTTTAGGGATTTTGTATGGGGATGAGAGTTAAAGAGGGGGAAAGGGGGGAATTAGGTCCGGATCTTGAATTAGAAGGAAAAGTTTGAGATCTCATTGTGTGCTTGGGCTCTAGGGTTTGCTAGAGACTTGTGGAGAGTTGTTCTTCCTCTCGAATCGAAGGACGTTGTATCTTTCTTTGTTTTCTTGCATCTACTAGTGGAAACCTTGTTTCTTTTCCTTATTTTTCTCTGTTTGGGTGCATTTCCTGCTGCGGAGCTGCTGTAAAACTGCTGGGACAGCAGTTTTGCTCACTGTTTTGGGCTGATTTTGACTAGGGTTGCTTGCGAACTCAAGTATTACCTTAGGGTTACTTGCGAACTCAAGTATTTCCTATCACATACGTAATAATAAAACATCAACATATAAAAAAGCAAAATATGACCAACAAGAGTGTACTTAAGCCAGTTATAATGACAGGTGAAAACCATGAAAGACAAGCACAATGACAAACTTATCCAAAGCTCCAGATGCCTAGTTAAGATCATATAATATTTTCTTAAGCTTGCAAACTTCCTCAAAGGTTATGAGAATAACTAGGAAGGGCAATCATGTATGCCTTCTATTGAAGATTACCATTCAATGAACTCCTTCGATTTTGGTTCTATACCGCCATAACTAGCAAGTGAAGTTGTATTACATCATAACTAATCTGTGGAACTAGTTAGCCCTTGAAGATTTAGTAGAGCTTAAACCATTTTGCTCCTTATACTGCTCATAAAGAGTAGCAATGAATACTAAATTTTTTGGTGGCCCTATGTGATGACTTTGAAATATTTTGGGGTAATATTCTCATTGTAGCCCTCTTTCCTCCATTGATTCTGTAGCTACTGGGTTATGGAAGATGAGATACATCATAAGTCTCAAATAGGAAAGAGATGACTTTCCATAACCAATCATCAATCTATTTTAGAAATCGCTATTTGCTCATCTTCTACCTATTAGAATAAGCCCAATTCCAAGGTTACTACTGATGAATACAATTTTTGTAAATAGAAAGGGCATTCAAATGCTCAATAAACTAAATTATAGAATAAATCTCAACAATGTTAGCCTAAAAAATCTGTGTTTTTAGTCAATTCAACCGCAACGGCATGCTTAAAGGCTTTTACAAAATTTATAGCAGGTGCATCGCCATCTGGTTATCCCATGGTAGTTTCTCCGATAGATCAGTTTCCAAATTCCTTATCAAACAGCGATGTCTTATATTTGCTTCAGGATTGTCAACCACATGTTCTTCAAGTATATCTCATTCTATTTGGGTCTTAGACTCGATAGCTTCTCATCATATCTCAATTCTTCATCATTTATTTTTTGTCCTATAAATCCTATGTTGATAATGACTACTGATGGAACACATATGTCATGGGCTGGTGTTAGTTATATTATATTTAATTTATTACTTTTTAATGTTTATCATATTTCTGATCTTACATGAAAATTTATTTATGTTGGTCAATTATGTGAGTTAACTACTTGGTTTTATTTTCATCAACTTTTTGACATATCTAGGATCTGCTCCTATAGGCCAATTGGGATAGGTATAGGTAGGGAGTTATATTTGGACAAACTAAAAATACTATATATCACAAGCCTCTTATTGATTTGTCATCTTTTTATTTAATTCATTCCTTTAGTTTTTATTTATGACATTCTTGTTTTAATTATATTTTATCCACTTATTTAAAATATTTAATTTCTACAAGAGCATTGCAAAAAATTGTAAACCCATGATAGTTATTATTGTACTTGATGCAAATGAGCAAAATTTTCTACATTACTTTTTGATTAAAAAAATAGTTCTTTTTATGTTGCACCATTTGATTTAATTAATTCTTATTTATGAGGCACTCCTCAATTACCATATAAGGAGGATCTCAGTATTATATTTCTTTATTGATAGTTATACTCATTATTATTGATAATTCATTCTATATATTTGTCAAAACCCAACACTTATTCATTATAAAGTGTTGTAGATGTGACTTGAATGAAAGCATACTTTTAATTAATTTCATGACTTTATTTTTTTAGATGAAATAATACATCAACTTTATTATTCTGATATTTCAAAGAAAATGGTGATGATGAAAGAAAAGATAGACATGTTATTAGAAAATGGTGATGATAAAATGTCTATTCTCTCTTATTGTCTGCCTACATTACAAGTGAACTCTTTAAGGAAAATGGCTCTTACCATCATTAATTCCATCAATAAGATCCAATCAACACACATATAGAGTCTATCATCATTTGAATAGATACCCCTCTAGCCAACTCATTGCAAAGTTAGATCCATGAACTCATGTAAGATAGTAAACTTCCTTCAATGGCTAATCAAATATCATATTAAAAAAAGCTAGAATTACAATAACATCTATTGAATTGAAGAATATGTTGATACAACTATGCCAACATAAAGGTAATCGAATATAGCAATAAAAAATATCCTCAATAATTAGGATGTACTATAATAATAAATTTAGTAAATTCCTATAATAAATATTAAACACATGGTAATAATAATAATGGTAAAATCTTGAAATGCAATAACTATGATAATTCTATCTCAAAAAGAATGTGAACATAAATTTCATTAATTGCTTATTTTAGATGGAATAATACATCGATCAAACTTCATGTAAAATGTTCTATAGAGTAAGTATTAGAGAAAAAAAATACATAGGCATAATATTGAAAACGATCATTATCTCTTATTGTTTACATATGTTCAAGGTAAATTCTGAGGGAAAGCAATTCTTACCACTGTTAATTCCATTAATAAGATCTCATCATTCCACATCTCAGGTATCACTGTTCATAAAGTTATATCCTATAAGATACTCTAGGTCTATCACGTCCCTATGAGTCTTTAGTTGTACTTACTTATTCTTATATAGAATATGCAAGTTATATTCTTGCTAAGCTATTTATGTTTTCTTGTGTTGTGGTGGGGTCAAAAAGGATAATTTCTTTGATCTGATTACTCAAAATTTTATCACATCATATTTTCATCATTAAGCATATTCTATGATGCACAGAAACGGACACGATGACACGGATACAACACGATACAAACACGGGACGCGTCAATTATTGAAAATATAGGACATGGACCCGATTTGGACATAATATTATAATTTTATTATTTAAAAATAGTGTATAAAAATTGAATAAATATAATATTAAAAATAATTTAGAAATAATAAGTTATTTAAATAGAATTTGTTTTTAAGATTAATATTAGGATGTCGAGGCTCGGGAGTCGATGTCGTGTATTAGACATCAAAAGGGGGCATCTGCCATCAATGTTGAGAGGGCGTCTACCATCGATGTTAAGACAAATTCGAACAAAGATGAGCAGTTAAGTTGTGGGTGTAGAAATTGTTAGTGTCGAGCATTAATGATAAGACAATATCAGACTTTGATGTTGAGATGGTTTTGAAATGTCAATGTTGTAACGACGTAAGACGTCGATGTTGAGATGACATCAGACATTGCTGTGAAACCAAAGTCGCGACCTGCCAAATAGAAATTAGAAATGAAAATGAGAATATTCGATGAATGGGCTATTGTGGGCTATGGATTTGATGTTGTGGATAGAAAATAAGAAATTTAATTTTTATAGTTTAATTGAATAAAAATTTTAAATACAAATAATTATTTTTTAAAAAATTCATAAAATATTTAAGACATGTGTCGAACATTCATGTTCAAGTTGTATTTAATAATGTTTTAACCAGACACATTTTTGGCGTGTCCGACACATGTCGAACTAGTGTCGAGTCGGACGTGACGGACATTTCACTCCTCTTTGAATTGAAGTGTCGGTGCATCATAGAGCATATTCCCTTCTTTTTTATTTCATCTAAATGTCACAATATGTTTAAGTTTGATCTTGTTCACATTAATCATTTGATTGATGATTTAGATAGCATTTCTATCACATGCAAGAATTTTAGTTCTTGATGCTATTATCACCTCCTATTTTGCTACAATCATCCCAACACCTATTGAGACTGTGAATCTTACACCTCATTATTCTCAACATGCTCATAATTCAACTCGATTATCATATTTTATTTACTCCTCTTACTCTGATTCTTCATCCTTTTTGGATCGTATTCACAATTTCTTTGAGTCTCTATCATATAAAGAGGCAAAGTTTTATCCTTTTTGGCTGCATGCTATTGCCGAGCAACTTTCTACCATGTGCAAGATGAATATTTGAAATTTGATACCTACACCTCAGAAAAAAATGCGATTGTCTATTATTTGGTGTATTAAATAAAAAAAAAATCAGATGGGTCTATCTAGTGAAGATATAAAGCACAATTAATTGCAAAAGGATTTTCTCAATAGTATGGAATGAACTATGAAGAGACTTTTATTCATGATGAATAAAGGACTACTATTTGTACTACTGTAGTTGCATTAGCTCATCCAGGCATATATCTAATATAGATGTAAAATATGCCTTCTTGAATGGTGATCTTTAAGAAGAGTTGCATATGGTTCCCCCTCCTAGTATTTCTCATGAAGTTTACAAGCTTGAAAAAAGCATTATATAGTCTTAAATAGGCACAACGAGCTTGATTCAAAAAGTTTTCAATAATAATTATCTTACTTGATTCTCATTTGATATATAAGAGCAAAAATAAATCAGATGAGTCTATTAAGTGGTATACAACATGATTGATTGCAAAAGAGTTTTCTTAATAGGATGGTATGGATTATAAGGAGATTTTTGCTCGAATTACAAAAATGACAATTGTTCATACTATTATTGTTGTTGATCAATTCGTCACTGACATACAACTTAGATGAATGCAAAACATGCCTTCTTGAATGGCAATCTTCAAGAAGAGATGTGTATTATTCCCCCTTCACGTATTTTTCACAACCATGATGAAGTTTGCAAGCTTAAAAAACCATTATATGGTCTTAAGCAAACATGACAAACTTGATTTGAAAATTTTCTATTGTACATACCAGACTTTATTTTACGCTAGCGATTATGACTCTGCACTCTTTCTAAGTGTACTCATGCTGTTCGTATTTTGTTTTTTATATGTTGACTGTTTGATTATTATAAGTGATGATATTGAGAGGCTTGCAGCGTGGAAGTTTGAATTAGCTTCTAATTTTAAAATAAAAGATATGGGCCTTGTACATTATTTCCTGAGTACTAATATTGCATGCACTTGTGAAGGCTATGAAATGGCAAACTTTTTGTAGGAGCTGATATCACATGCTCCTCTTACTGATGCTAGGACAATCAATGCTCCTCTTGAACTCATACAATCAATGCTCCTCTTGAACTCATTCATCGGTATTCTTCTTGAAATGGCAAACTTTTTACTAAAACTATTTTATACTATATTTAATGATTGGTAGCTTGGTTTATCTCACTATTACACAGTCAGAATGCCTATGTTGATCACATTATCAATCATTTTTTCATTTCCTACCACCATTCATTGGTAGAAGAAGAAACATTAACTGATAAGCCTTCTAATCTTATCTTAATTAACATACGTAGCTAGAATCCATCTCTTGCCCGCATTAAAAAAATAATAATATTACCAAAAATAAAGACAATTTATACGGTCTTCACCTAACCATTCAAATAAAAAATTGCTTGATGTATCCCTGAAGGATTAATAGCCACCTGAACCAGTGGTATAATTGCCAATCGTGCAGCAACATCTCCAGAGGATTTATTGCACTCTCTCCAAAGAAAATTATGAGCAGGCATGTCGCCATAGCTGAAGCACCAAAAAAAGTCCAAATTTAAATTTATGAGATTTACTTTTGTAGTCAATTAAATTTAATCATAAATCAAGCTTGCAAGAAAGATAGAAGTGTCTGATCACCCATCTGTAGTTACAAATAACAAATAAAGATCTAAGAAATGGATAGTAGAGTCATGGCTTAGAGAAAAAAGCTATTTGTGGGTGAAAATAATAGTATCCAGTAAAAGAGAATAAGTGAAGCTTTATCATGAAAGACAGGGAGTTCTTCAAGCACTAAAAATAAAGGAAAAAAGAAAATTCAATCTACTAGTTCGGAACTCATCCTGCTCAGTTGCTAGCCCATGGAATGAGCAGCTCAGAAAGTACTGTAATGTGTTCAAAGAGATAGTCCAAGGGGTATTGCACAGGTTCAAACAGCTTAAATCCATTCTTAAAGGAGACAATAACTTCAGCAAAAAACGTGCAGGAAAGAAGGAATAGGCTCAATGAGGTTTCCTCGAGATTTATTTGGTCAACGTAGTGCAGAAATTACTATTTTGAAGGTTCATGTGCGAATATAAAGTGCTTTCGGTGGTTGGTAATGCAGAATTATATTATCTTGAAAGTAACTGATTAGAAGAGGGAAAATGCCAGTCTGCTGTAAGCTATTTACTAGTGACATCGAGAGTGCTGATCATATATTCTACATGATGGATTGGATTTTCTCCGTACATGGTTCATGACAACGGTAGTTTTAGATTTCATCAGGAGCTGGTCATGAATGGGAGAGAGTGAATGACGAAAGAGGGAGCTGGAAAGGCATGTGTGCTTTTGCTTGGAGTCCATTATGGTATCTGGGAGGAATGAAACAAAAAGATGTTTAGTGAGAACACAGAACCAATATCTAAAAACAATGATTTCCTAAATAATTGGGTAGGTGCATTGGTTTCATCAAACATTCAAGGATCCTACAGCTAGACACGGAGTGATTCCCCAAGTGCATACTCAGTCAAAATTGGCAGTCATCAAGATTCAAGACGGTCAATTTTAGTATACAGATTGCATAGTCAGAGCTGGAGCAGAATATACCGTTGAAGCTGCAAATGTTGTTTTGGTATGACGTATTTTACTTGGAAGGTCTGTAACCTATGTTGCACCGATACGGATACGGCGACACGGATACGACACGATACGGATACGGGACACGTCAATTCTTAAAAATATAGGATACGGGTACGACACGGGCACGGCATTATAATTTATAAATCATACATGAAAATTAAGAAAGCAATCAAAGCATAATATTTGAAATTACAAAAAAAAAATGACAACAACATCATTTGTGGCCTTGTAGCTTATAATATCAAAATATAAGTAAGCATTAAATGTCTAATACAACAACAAAAGCATAAACATAAATTATCTAGCACATGAAGTTTCAACAATTCAATAGAAGGAATGATATAATTATCTTCTTCATTGGTTTGTCTTTGAACTTCTATATCATCTTCAATAAATATCATAGCTTCTAATTCAGGCTCATCAAGTGAAAGATTAGTAATTTTTATTATTTTCATATCATCAAGAGACTCAAATCCATCTCGGAAATGAGAGAATCTTGCTCGCAACCGCGGAAGTAAATATGACACGTCTTTTTTTTAGGATTTTTTTTTTGTTTTTCGACGGACACGCGTATCAGATACGCATGTCCTTTTGAAATTAAATAGTATTTTAATTGGATACGGCTTTGGCGTATCACGTATCGGTGGAGTATCGGAGGCGTATCCGTGTATCGGTGTATCGGATACAGCACGCCTTCATAAGTAGGTGTATCGGTGCAACATAGTCTGCAACTGATTTAATCTCAGGGCACCTTGCGTTATATGAGGCCTGTTTTGCATTGGTTATTTGGTTGGAAAGAGAGAGCATTTTGGTTGCACCTGTTGCATTCTTAATTTTTTATCTGGTTAATTTTCAGATATTTCTACTTTATTTTGTTGTTAACAGGGGTTTTCCCGTGGATGTTCAATGAAACCATTATCTTCTCTCATTCCAAGCATGGTTCATGGAAATTTCTATCTTTTCTCCAGAAAGAAAAAATTAAACAACATCGCATCTTATGAGTCTTCATTGGTCATCTAAAGATAAATAACTATAAATTGGAGTCTTTTCCAGTCATTCGTGTGTTCCAACCATCCTATGTTGTTCCTTCCTACGTTCCTCAAGAAGAACAAAACTTGGAGTTAAGAAACCTCAGGTCAATCCAAACAAAATACAAGAATTTTTCTTAAGCTAAGCTCATAGAAAAATCTCTCCCAAGTATATAACACTAAAGAATGAAAAAACAGAAGTTAGTAAACAATGAGATGAGCTGCACAGGACTCCTGGCTACAACAAGTAGGCTTTTTCTACTAGGAAAGCAAATAATTTGATACAATAGAACCAGAACCATGTAAATTATTCAAGAATCGAAGTCAAATTGCTTAAAAAAGTATCAATTAACCTTATGAAAAGGCTTAGTAGGATACAGAACATTGTCATGATTGCAAGAAACCAAGAAGAAACACCGAAAACATCTATATCCAGAAAAAATGAAGCATCACCTCACCTGAAGCCAAGCTCCGTTAACCTTTGTGAACACCATGCAAAGTGCCGGCTTTCATCATCTGCAACACGAGCAAAATCAGAGAAGAACTCATCTCCAAGCAGATCATGAAGTGGGGAAAAACGAGCCACCGTATCCCATGCCAAGTCTATGGCATTAAGCTCCACATGCGCTAGGTTATGGAGCAAGTAAGCATTGAGTGGCAGGCCGGAACTCTTATGTGTTTGTATTTCCCTGGGAGGCACCTGCAGAAATCAACAAGTTCTTTGTTTTGGTCTCGCCACATTATGAAGTATTGTGGAGGTATAGTTTTAAGACAGTTCTGATATTTCCGTTTTTTATTTTAAAAGGCATTTAGCATTAAAAAAAAAAATACAATTACATGTGGCTATGCCTTTTACGTTCTTCTCTCAACAAATTTGAAAAAGAAGCAGGAAGTTGTAAGTCATCATTGCCCTTCCAAACAAGAGAACCATATAAAACATACTTAGCACACAAATCAGCTGCTTCATTACACTCTCTAGGCAATAGTGAAAAACTAGCAGGTCAAATATAGTGAAAAAGGCCAGATCATCCCACAGTTGTAGATTTAACCTCCAACTGACATCTCTCATGGATTGTTACAGTCATTTCATAACATCGTAGTTATCCCCTTCGACACAACAAGGTTTTGCAAGGAGATGACGGCCTGCATCTCACTTTATGCATACCAGCCGCAAACAGAAGCTCGCATTTGTCATTTCGAATCACAATGCCCATCCCAACCAAGGAGTGTTTCCGTTGTTTGATATAAGCATTTAGTTTCGGCAAATTTTTTAAAAGGGACTTCTACAAAATCATCTATTAGGAGATAAAATGCTGAAAAATATTTAAAAAGATATAGGTTCTATGATTGATCAAATTATGTCGCCCAAGGACACTTAAACTTTTGTTTTTGTTTTTCCTTTCATCTTTGTGAAATTTGATGCTTTGTCATCCCATTATGGCAAGATTCAAATCACAAATTCATGCAAAAATCAATTATATCATTTAAGATAATTAAACAAGGGATAATAATTAGTTTTTTTTGCCAAATACACTAAACATTAATGATTTAATGTTTTATTACATCAAGGTGACTTATATCATCAATAAAATGTAAAACCACCACCAACAATAACAACAACAAGCATTTATCCCACTATATGTGATCGGCTACATGAATCATTTTTCTCCTTTGTGTCCTATTAAAATTAAATTTAAGATTAGAGAGAGTCGCCTTAAATGATTTGGTCACATAAAAAGTAGGCCTTTTGATGACCCAATTAGGAGAGTAGATATATTAGATTTGGCCTGTATTAAGAGAGGTAGAGGTAGACCTACAAAGACTTGATAAGAAAATATTAGAAATGATATCTTTTTATTAAATTTAAATGAGAATTTGACTATTAACAGGATACAACGGAAAAAAAAAATGATTCATGTAGCCAACTACACCTAGTGGGATAAAGGCTTGATATTGTTGCATTTCTGTTGTTATTATGTTATATTAAGAGTCAAATTTTCATTTAAATCTAACAAAAAAAAACCATTTTTAATACTTTCTAACCAAGTTTTTTAGGTTTAGCTTTACCTTTCTTAACATTGGTCGGATCTAATGCATCTACTATCTTAACAGGGTCATCAAAATGTCGACATTTTAGGTGACTAAGCCATTCAAGGTGACTCTCCCTAATCTTATCTACCACCGGAGCTACTCCAACTTTTCACATTATGTTTCTAATTATAAAATCACTCATCCACATGAGCATTCCCATCTCGACAACACTTAACTTAATTTTATGCTTATCTTTTAATGACCAACATTCTGCAATATAAAGCATTGTAGACTCACTACCATCTTAATAATATTTTCCCTTAAGTTTGAGAACTTTTCTGTCACACAACAAACCCAATGCATTCCTCCACTTTAATCATCCAACTTGAATATGGAGGTTGCTTGTTTGATCCACGCTCACTGCATAATTAAATATTTTATCATACTTCGAATAAAACAATGTCTTTATTAGGTCCCAAGTCCTAAATGAGAGAAATGAAGAGTTGCAATAGGTTGTCGACAGCCAGTGCAAAACTTATAATCAATCATGACATGAATCATTTAGTATATTGTGTTAATAAAATATAACACCATACAACAATTTTTTAATTTAACTACAATGAAGCTCAATAATTTTCTAGTGTCTAAATCTCAATATTTTTTTATCCTTAGCATATGAATTCTTAAATTCATATGTTAAGGATAAAAAATATTGAGATTTTTTTTATCCTATTTAACACTGCCGTTGCCAGGTCCTAAGTCCTGGATGAGAAAAGTGGAGGGTTGTGTTAGGTAGTCGACAGCCAGCGTAAAACTTGTCGACCAATAATGACATGATTCCTTTAACAAATTGTGTTAATGCTAGGGCGTCCCCTGGAAGCGACGCGCTGTATGGCCTGAATACAGTGACAGGTGTGCAACGGCCGCTGCACCGGCGCCCGAGTGCAGTGTTAAATAGGCAAGGGTTCCCACATCAAGAACGAATGTGGGCAAAGAAGCTAGTCCATGAAACTAAAATTAGGATATGAACTTGGAATTTATGTTCCCTTACAGGAAAATTAATGGAATTAATAGATATTATGATTCATAAGAAGTTAAATATTTTGTGCATTTAGAAAACTAAATAGGTTGGAGAGAAGGCTAAGGAAATTGATAGTTTAGGATTTAAACTTTGGTATTCGGGTAGGAGTCGTACTAGAAATGGTGTAGGTGTTATTATAGATAAGAGTTTAAAGGATAATGTTATAAAAATGAATAGGATTGCAGATATAATTATAGCTTTAAAGATTGTTGTTGATGATAAGATTATTAATATTATAAGTGCTTATGCTCTTCAAGTAGGTTTGGATATGAGTTCTAAATTAAATTTTTGGAATGACTTAGAAGAATTAATACAAAATATACCTCTTGAAGAAAGAGTTTTTATTGGAGGAGATTTAAATGGACACGTTGGTAGAGAGGTAGATGATTTTTAAAAGCATTCATGGTGGCCATGGATTTGGAACGACGAATGAAGGTGGAAAGACCATATTAGATTTTTGTTTAGCTTATGATTTTTCAATTGCTAATACCTTATTTAAGAAAAGGAATGAGCATCTCATCACTTATAAAAATGGATATAATACAACCAAGATTGACTATTTTCTTATTAGAAAATTAAATCGTTTAGATTGCAAAGATTGTAAAGTTATTCCGAGTGAAAATTTATGTACCCAACATCGATTATTAGTTTTGGACTTTAAGATAAAGGGGCATAAAATAAAAAATAAAGTAAAACAATTTTCTAGAATTAAATGGGGGCATTTAAAGAATATTAACAAAAATATTTTTGGAAATAAGATTTTAGATCTTAAGATTTTGTCTGTGCATGAGGATGCTAATATTATGTGGGAAAAAGTGGCTACTGATATTAAGAATATTGCAAAAGATGTCCTTGGAGTATCAAAGGGAAAAGCTCCTAATAGTAAAAATAGTTGGTGGTGGAATCCTAATGTGCAAGAAAAAATTAAAAATAAGAAGCTTTGTTATAAAAATTGGTTTAATTTTAAAAATTCTGATAATTGGGAAATATATAAAGTGGCTCGTAAGGATGCTAAGAAAGCAATATGCGATGCAAAGGCATTAGCTTTTAGTGATTTATATAATAGATTAGATACTAAAGAGGGAGAAAGATATATGTATAAGTTAGCCAAACAAAGAGATAGGAGTAGTAAGGATTTAGTTCAAGTGAAGTGTATTAAAGATGAAGATCAAAAAATACTTTTCTTAGAAGATGATATTCAACAAAGATGGATGAGATATTTTGCTAAACTTTTTAATGAAGATTGTGAAAATAAGATTGACTATAGTGACCTTAGCACCCTAGATGAAAATAAAGATTTATGTTTTTATCGGCATATTAGTAAAACTGAAATTAGAGAGGCTTTAAAGAAAATGAAGGGTGGAAAAACTGTTGGACCTGATGATATCCCAATAGAGGTGTGGAAATGCTTAGGAGATGAAGGAATTTCATGGCTTACTAAACTTTTTAATACTATTTTGAAGACTAAAAAGATGCCAGATGAGTGGAGAATGAGTATGTTAATTCCTATTTTTAAGAATAAAGGTGATGCACAAGATTGTGCGAATTATAGAGGTATTAAGTTAATGTGTCATACTTTAAAACTATGGGAGCGAGTTATGGAGCATAGGTTGCGGCGTGATACTAATGTTTCTCAAAATCAATTTGGATTCATGCCGGGTAGGTCGACTATGGAAGCCATACATTTATTAAGAGGTTTGATGGAGAAATATAGAGAAAATAAGGAGGATCTACATATGATATTTATTGATTTAGAAAAAGCATATGATAAAGTTCCAAGAGAAGTGCTATGGAGAGTTCTTGAAAAGAAAGGAGTCAATAATGCTTATATTCAAATCATTAAAGATATGTATGCAGGAGCTATTACATGTGTTCAAACACAAGGTGGATTGACCAAGTATTTCCCTATTTCGGTTGGGTTACATCAAGGATCAGCCTTAAGCCCATATCTTTTTACTTTAGTCATGGATGTTCTCACTAGACATTTGCAAGAGGATGTACCTTGGTGTATGCTTTTTGCTGATGATATTCTTCTTGTTGATAAGACTAGAGAGGGAGTTGAAGGTAAACTTGAATTATGGAGGTCAACCTTAGAGTCTAAAGGTTTTCGCTTGAGTAGATCTAAAACAGAATATATGGAGTGTAATTTTAGTAGTAATAGACCTACTGAAGGGATTGTGACTTTGGGCGATCAAGTCATTAATAAGAGTACACGTTTTAGATATCTTGGATCAATTGTTCAAAGTGATGGTGAAATAGATGGGGATATTATCAACAGAATTCAAGTTGGATGATTGAAGTGGAGGAATGCATCGGGCTTGTTATGTGATAGAAATGTACCCCTCAAACTTAAGGGAAAATTCTATAAGATGGTAGTGAGGCCTGCAATGCTTTATGGTGCCGAATGTTGGCCATTAAAAGAGAAGCATAATACTAAGTTAAGTGTGACAGAGATGAGGATGCTCAGGTGGATGAGTGGCTTTACCCTTAGAGATAAGATACGAAATGAGCATATACGTGAAAAGGTTGGAGTAGCTCCAATAGAAGATAAGATTAGAGAGAGTCGCCTTAGATGGTTTGGCCACATA